GATGGCGGTCAGTTTATTCAACAGGGCTCGTGCTTCGCTATGGTCTTCAAAGATGAGGGCGATGTCATCTGCGTACTCCAGATCGGCAAGGCTCTCGCCAGCAACAATTTGAACACCGGGGTTTTGGAAACCGTCCAGTGTTCGCCTCATTATTTCATCGATGACGAAGTTGAACAGGAATGGGGAGAGTGGACATCTTAGTCTGACACCACTTTTTGTAGGGAAGCTTTTGGAGAGCTCACCATACACCCTAACCCGCCCTGAAGTATATATAGGGGTCGGATTATGTTTACAAACTTCTGGGGCATACCCTGTAGAGCAAGTGTAGTTAAAAGTACTGATCAACCAACAGAATCAAACGCACCCTTGAAGTAAAAAAATACCACGATTGTGGGTCGTCTGTACCTGTGGCGTTGCTCTAACACCTGACGGAGCATGAAGGTGTGATCAACGCAGCCTCTACACCAACCATTCAGCTGTAGCACCCTTTCGGTGCCTAGCTGCAATGCCACACGAAGGAAGCGCGAGGGCTGTGATACTGCCAGGTTGCCCAAGCCTAGACAGGGGAAGTCGAGAGGCAGAGGTCGGATTCAAAACACGGACCTTCCAGTCAGTAAATTCGTGTTATAACCACTTGGTCCATCTCGCCCTATTTGATTCTCACGAGTCAAGGTTTCGCGTGCCACCGTAAGACAATGAAGAATCAGTGACGCCAGAAGCCTTGACACAACAGGCGCCAAACAAATACCTCTGTGGTTATCACATTCACTGCGAGTACCATTTTTGAAAGTGGGCACGACTATCGATTCACCCCAGTTTTCTGGGACGGCCTCCTTCTCCCAGATAGACCCAAATAGGCTAGACAAGCACCGGCTGAGGAATCCACCACCATTCTTGAAAAGAGTAGGTAGGTCGTTAGGGCCAGGAAGTAGAAGACAATAAGGCAACAGGAAACCGTAGATAATTGCATAAATTTCAGTACTGTTCAACAGCCACATCAGCGTGGACTCATTGTGGAAAGAGTAAAATCAACTATGATATTCCCTAGACTGTCCCAAGGATCCCGTGAGTCATTCCTCCAGATAAAACCGGGACATACCAACTGCAGCAAGTCGCTCCAGTAAGCCTACCTATCTAAGCATATCTGCGACATGAAGTGAACATGAAATACAACAACAGAAGACGGTAAAAGGATACGCAATGATGACCGGATACGTAGACAATCTGTCGGCTCGCATAAGGACGAACGAAACAGATACCCCGAACGTCGTCACCATATGCAGAGTCAAAGAAAGGAGAAAGGCAAAGAAGTACCGATAGTTTCTTCTCCCAATACAGTTGTTCAACCAAGGACAATGGTGATCGAACGTCTAGAGTGAGGAGTGAATTCAAGCAATATAAAATACCCACGTCAATACAATGTTTACAAATTGAGCAGTGAGAACACCTTGGTGGACGGTAAATCTCACAAGTTACACACCACTTCAACCGGGTGGCAATTCCGTTAATTTCTACTGATTTGTACATGACAGTACGGGCTGCTCCTTTCTCAATCGTCGTCATTTTCTCGCCCGGTACGCCTGTCAAAAGTGATACACAGAACTAACACTGGGTACCAATCGGCAGATAGCCTGGATCCATAAACGTTGCCCTCCCGAATGTACTGACAACGTAAAATATCAGTAAGGAATGCACTGCTATCAACGCATAGCTGGTTTGCCTGCTAAAATCCCAACATCTGCGAGAACCAAATATTGTGTGAGCAAAAGCTTACATAAAGAACAAATACAGGGATGTGAGCGATAACAAGAGGAACCATGCAATGAGAGCAGGTCCTATGTTTCTTGAGAACGACTGACAACTCATGCTACGGCACACAATGCAAAGAAACAACAACGGGACATTGCTACGACCCCATTTGGAAACCGCGCGGCAGCCTCAAGGCCAAGTCAGGCACATCAACAGTCCATAGACTCGCGGATTCGTGGATTGGTACACATGTTCGAGGCTTCTGACTCACATAAATAATGCATATTGATGCTTTGAACATAGTCTTATTGGGAGCATCGGCAGCGTGGATGCACCAACTCCTCGAAATGAGAAAAATCAGCCTAATGAACGTGTGAGCTCTGAATTGAAAATCCACTCACCATGTCCCCGCCGTGTTTGCTGAGTCAACGGTGAGAAGCTTGTTGGCTATGAAGGTTATCCACACATCCTGCAGGTCCCAGTTTAAAGCACCATTGGACACCTTATGTTATTCCTTGAGCTAGCAACTCTACTTGATAGCTCTGAAAACTTAAACAGCAATGCAACACCCTTCTTTCGCTTGTGCCTTTCAAGTGAACGAAAAGAACAAAACCAACTCGGAAAACCTGGTTGAGAGCCTCGATTCTGTGTGTCAATTCGTGAATCCGTCGGAAAATTTCTGTACATGGTCACCAATGTTAATGATAGCAGTGGGCTCATTCTCATCCGCCTTTGTGATCGCATTACTGTCCGCGTCTTTTACGGCGTTTAACGCCCTTTGCCCCGTTGGTTTACTGTGTGGAGCTCCTGGCTGCTGGAACTTAAAAAGGTGTCACCAACTGTACACGCAGCTTCTCTATACGCGAAAGATTATGTGACACGTTCAAAGATGAGGGTTATTTCTTCCGTCTTTATCACCATTTTGCTCACCGCAGAATTCAGGCCCTTTTTTACACACAACGGCCTGTTTCTCACTTAGCGTGGCAAACGTAACACGCTACCGAGGTGAATAATTTTTTCTAAGAAATGTCTCCCTTTGCAGTGTTGTTCTTGGGTGGCTTTCACTTCCGTCGCTTTGGTGAGTAACTAAAGTCTGTGGGCCAGAGCACGGTCTTGGCTCAGCCTACGTAAGTGGTGACAGATATCACATAAACGCCGAGTATTCAAGTAGGTCGTCTGTTTGAGTACTGACTGGGCGGCGCCGAGCGCTCATTTGGCAGAAGCGAGTAACGTGGCCCGTGGAATATTCAGCATCAACTTGATGAGTGCGAAAATGAGTATAATCACTGATAGTGCAAATTTTTCACTGGTTGCGACCTGTTAGAGGTCTGACAAGCAGGCTTCGTGGATTCAGAAGGCATCTACCGGCGAAAATTGCTTGAGTGACAGCTAAAGGTGAATCACACAAGGTTTTGAATCAGAAATACGATGCGTTTTAATCAGCTGGAGAGGTATTCTTGGACAACGCCCAAATGGATTGAATAGGGTGAGTTGCATTTATTTCACAGGGCACCGGAAAACAATGTAGCGATGACGAAAAAGAGGGAAGCGCGAGTATTTAATGGCGTTTTCTGGTGTAACACATCGCTAGCTGCATTTCTGGAAATTAGGCTAGCCATAGATCAGGAATTTCGCTCGGGTTCTGTTGCCTGGCCAAGAAAGTTATTTCCTCCCGGATTGCGGAGGCCACACTGCTTTCGAGGAAATGTATCACCTGTGACACGGAAATGATATGAACTTGCTTGACGAGGGTCGAGCTATCGGGACTTTACTTCGTCTTAAATTACGTTATTTTAGGCCTAGCTTCCCCAAGGGGTTTAAGGCAGGATACATTGGCAATAATATATCGGTTCCCAAGTTACTGGATCAATTTTGTTGATTTTTGACACACGTCGGTCCTGAATGTGTGCCGCCTTAGAAGGGTTTACAAATTCGTAGACCGCACCCCTAAACTGCGGAATCATGAAGCCTTAGTTGCCGCAAATCGCTTTAGTTAATCGTCGTATGAATGGGTGTGCAAACTGCGCCCGTCGTTCAGAATGGGCGCTTCGATCTACAAAAGCCTCGAAATGAAAAATGAGCAACGGCTTATCTTGGAGAAGAGCGCTAGCTTACGCCCATACAACAGGTGTTTTGATTAATATTTACCCCTGTGATCAAAAGTAAAAGAGTGATCCGTTTTTCAATGAATGAATCAACAGCTTGGAAAGGTACCTAACGTTAGAGCAGTTAGAGTTCCTAGGTTTCTCATTACTATCGAAATTTTAAGGCTGCAAATCGCATTTAAAATTAAAAAAGTGCTTGATATACTGGTACAACCAAACGGTGCTGTTCGTCTCTCCAGGAGGTGGACACCAAGAAGAAATTTCTTTCTCATCCCTTGGGATAACAAAACGATCAATAGCTGAGTTTTAGAGAGAAAGAAACGGCACTATATTGAACGAATGTACGATTCACTATTCTCTATGAATTTCACATTTATGTAAGGCAAGCGAGAATTAGCGCACAAATACCCGCTGAATTCACGGCAGGAGTAGGAAAGTAATGCGGCCGCATTGCCAAAGATGTAACAATGTCGCAACGGTGAATGAAGGTTTGAAAACATTGTAAGTTATGGCTCATTCGAAAGCGAGTAGCCGTAGGTATGACGACTCAGTTGCAGCAATCGGCGCTCGAGACGTTTTCAGGAGCCCCACGTCAAAATCCATACCGTGACTCCTGTGAAATGGTGTGGACTTGATTTCTGCTCCCACGTGTTGAGCATTGCGGAATCTTTATTAACCGGGAAAAGTTTAATCAGTGTCTGCAGTGGTCGAAAAGCAGAAGGTAATGAATTGAGGACCCAAGCGCAAGGCCTAAGTGCACCATTGTGGCAGTGTGTCGTAACCCTGACTCAGTTGCTCTGCACTTGAGTTCGTCGAAGTCGTGCGCTCAGTAAGACATGTCAGATTGTCCACAGGCAGCTGGTAGCTATGAATAGTATCCGAGCGACCCTGCCTTCGGAGTGAATAATAAACTGACAGTAAAACAATTCTGCAGGCAAAACCGAAAATTCGTTGGCAGTTATTCACTGCCACTAGGGAAGCTATCGCAACCCACGTCTGTGGTAATGGGAGCTTCACGTTTGCGGTGCTGCTTGATGAAGTGCATGCCTGATCATCCAGTCCCGGTATTCCGGGAGGCCAACTCTCATTGACCATACAGGACTCGTCTTACTTGATGGATGCTCCTCCTAAGATTCCCGAGAGATGTTTGAAACTCATGTTTTTCACCTTTCATGGCATTGAGATCAGGTTCGGTCTTCACGATTCACTGATGCTTGTGTCGTATTTGTGTGCATTTTGTACAAAAATGGCGAATTGCGAAGGCTTGATTTAAAATACGAAATTAAATACTGGGAGCTGCATGAAATGTCATGAAGTTATACAGCTAGGTATGCTGCGCAAAGCCATCCGTGTGCCACTCAATGTTCGAAAACTTACGCACATTTTTTCTGGAGGGATATTTTCAACGCCAACCCGTATACGCACACCCAAATTTCTATGAAAACTATTTCAAAGATGGGAACTTTTACATTATTTTAGGATCTTGGAGTATTTGGTAGAGACCACACATTTTCCTCACACAGGTACAACTTTGTTTAAAATTTGTTTGTGCGTAATGAAAGTCTAATTTGGGCGCCTAATTTATGTTAGTAATACCTGCCGCAGCTCAGCATGGTACCCCCATGAAGAGGCTTCCCTTGGTTGATAATAATAACAATGTTCATTACCAACTACTGGGTAACAAGCCTTCAGATTTTAAAATCAGAATGAGAACATGGCTGGTGAGGTTTATGGTTACTAAGAACTTCGTGGAAAAGGAACAGATAAACCGTGGGCATTATCCAAAGTTTACGTGGTGACATGGGGCGGCATGGGTGGGGACCAAAATAAGACGGGCTTTCCATTTCTTATAGGGAACATACCAGATGAAACAACATAAGAACTTCAAGTTTTGAAAGTGGTGGGCAAAAACGATACGAATAAGGGTATAACGGGAGGCTTCCTGCCTAGTACGCTTATGCCGGTATGCTCTGAATCTCTCGTCCCATATTATAATATACTAGCAAAATCAACCTCTGCTAGATCGCTATTCTGTTAAGTACAAATCTACTCCTATCTTGTCCCATTCGATCACTTGTTTTCGTCGCACTAATTGTAGTAAACGGTACGTTTTCTCTCTCTATTAATGCACATTATCCTACCTAGTTACTCCTCATACTAACCAGTCATTAATAATCTCAGCACATTCCCTCGTCTTCCCAGGCTTTGACCATCCGAAATGCCTGGTTTGGATGCTCTTTTTGGCTGTTATCCACTCCATCTAGCCCATGGCCTGCATAAACGAAATTCCTCAGCTGAAAATATACCTGTGATCTTGCATCGGTTTCGTTCTACCTCCATAAATTTCCTCGGCCGATCTGAAAAATCTCGCTGCTCAAAGGATTCCACGTGTTAACCGATTCAACTCAAAAATGACGTCCGTTATTAGGGTGTATGAAAACCGAAGTATGTCAGGCCGATTATTACAAGGCACTGGAACACCCTTTTTGATGGCACTCCCGCAACTAATACCTTCCCACTCTCGACCGTAACGTCCCGCCCACTCGTTCTATTAACTGCGAATACGAACAAATTCTTTACTTGGCCCAAGCCGCCTCCGGGGCGCGTTCGTTCTAATATGTTGGACCTTCCGTTTGAACTTAGCCATTTTGGTTGACTTTCGGTTTGTGCTTTCTACAACGTCAATGACTTTCTGTGCAGTTCGCGTTCCGGTTTGTGTTTTCCCGCCAACTATCTCCGAAGAGACGTTTGCACCCGACTCCACTGCAACAGTGACACCAGCGGGTCCCTACAGTTTCAACGTACACCATGACCCTGAAAATCCTGACAATGTTTATATGCACTTCTAATCCTAAAAATTCATCGTTCCCACTTACGCTTTTTGTGGCCCTGGCGATGGGCCGAACAAGCCAGGGCCACGAGGCCTCAGCGATGATTTTAGGTTTGAGTTGAAGCTGACCAGCTGGGTTGCGCTGACTCTGCTTCTTTACCAGTTCCATTGTTTTGGTTCCT